ATCGTGTGGTTGTGTGGACCCCCCTGAACCATAGATTATAGACTATTGAATAAATGAATCTCAATCGGATTAGAAGAATACTGCTAGATTCAGATGATCCAAATGATAAACCTGGCAATAAATATCGTACCCAGTACCTGTAAACCTGGGAAAACAGCATTATTAATGGCGCCTTCCAGGTTAATGCCCAGAACTGGATCCTTCCTGTAAAAGATCATGCCACCTCTGGGACCTCGAAGAGACTGCACGTTTGAAATTAGAGGTTTATGAAGAATGCTGCGATGAGAGATGAAATACTTCCTAATTCTATGCTTCAAAAAACCATTCATTAAAAGAGGTAGGAGAAAATGTTACAGCAAGGAGATATGTTCTCAAATAATGAACTTTCTTACTGTGGGGGAACCACATCCACTTTCAAAAACAATGCAACTACCAGGCAAAAAAAAATATTGAATCTCGTGGATGAATTATATCAAAATGTTAGGTGGGCACAAGCCTTCAGTTCACTTGTAAATTTTGATATACCTAACGCCTCGACTCGATATCAGCCTATTTATCTCTCAGCATCCTTCCAATAAGACCTGTTTTTGCATCCTAAACATTTACTATTTAACTATTCCTTGATGATCATGACAAAGCATACCTTGGTGGCGATAATATAACATGCTCTGTAGTTGAGAACAGAGGCACAGCTCCCGTCAATTTAATCCATTTCGACTCCTCTAGGATGGACCACGGGGGAGTCACACTTCTAAACGACTTCAATAGGATGCGTAATTCTCAACAGACTCATCTTCCATCACAAAATAAACTGACGCAATTGTTTAGCACCTTCATCATGTCCACAGAATATGTATTATGTCCAGATACGCAAGCAGGTGGAGAACTCTGGTCGAGACCCACAGCTTATTGGTGTTGAACTTGTTAAGTTCAATTTACACAGATCATCACATGATATGGATCTTTCTAGGGCACAGTACGTACAGCGGAAAATTAGAGCATCAACTAAAGCAACAGCAAGTGAGGACATAATCATCAGCTGCAGCAGCAAGTGACCAGAGTACCTAGGTGATAAGGCCGACAAACAGATTCAATAAATTGTTTTTACAACGCGCCAACGAGGGAAAACAATAGAGGAGATGTAAGGCTGGACCCTGAGAGTGCAGACAGACCTCTGTTTTAAGTGCCCGTAAGGGACTAGTTCTAACGAGACTTCCAAAAACAATCGCATTGGCTTCCGGAATCACAATATTATTACAATGTAAAAGTGAAGTTCTCACAAATTTCATGCATTACTAAAGTCTAAGCATTATAAATTGCTCTAATATGAACCACAAGTGTACTCAGCCCAGACATACAAAAGAATACGGAGGTTTCTTATCGTGATACCTTATGAGTGGTTGTGGTGACAACATCACAAAATTCAAAGGGATCTGCAACCACCCCCGCAGCAACTAGTCCACTGATGTGAGCCATATCCATCATAAGAAACGCACCAACAGCATCCGAAATCTTCCAAAGTAGTATGGCCCAACAGTGTTAGATCTAAATAATAATTTGGGGAACAAAAAGGAACAAAATTTTGGCTGATATTTAGGATGAGAGAGAAAAAAAAAAACCTTCCTCATTCGAGGGTAATCAAAATCCCGAGGGTATGCACTTGCACCCGCAATTATTAGTTTGGGTCGAAAGAGGACAGCTGTCTTCTCCAGCATATCGTAGTCAACAAAACCTGATTGGAGACGGATAATGAGGGTCCTCAGCCATGAAATGGAGGAAAACAGCGAATCATAAGCTGCTATTTTTGCCTTATAAAAGTAAGGATTACCTGTTGATTCATCGAGACGATAAGGCATAGACTCAAAATAAATTGATGTCCCTGAAACCCTTCGCTTCGGAGTCATAAAACCATGAGATAAGTGTCCACCATGTGGCAGATCCAGACCCTGCGTACAGATGCGTAAGCCAGTTAATCATTCATCAGTGCAGAGGTTCCTGTACAGGAAACAAAGACTAAATAGCAGCTTTCAAGGGGGGGAATACACACGTAGTTGCAGAGAGAAGGAGAGAGAGACAAAAGTATATACCATTATTCTGTCATGTGGCTGGAGGAGGGCAGTGTAGACTTCGAAATTAGCAGGGGAGCCGGATAAAGGTTGAACGTTGACTCCCCACTTCTCCTCGTCTAAGCCGAATGCCTTCAAGGCTCTTCTCTGACACAGAGTCTCGATCTGATCGATGTACTCATTCCCGCCGTAATACCTAGGCATAACAGCAAATGCCTCAGTAAGTTACCGAATCGAGAGGACGATAACAAAAGTCAACTAAGATGTGTCCAACCTCGCAGAACTGACCTTTTGCCGGGCAGTCCTTCAGAATACTTGTTCGTGAGACAAGAACCGACAGCTTCCATCACAGCCCGTGATGTGAAGTTCTCAGAAGCAATTAGCTCTAGGCATCTCGACTGGCGCTGTTTCTCCTTTTCAATCAGTGCGTGCATTTCAGGATCAGCATCCTTGAGGCTATAATCTTTGAATGTACTGGCATCACCTATGGAGCGAGAAATCGCGTTCAGGAACACAAGGATTGACCGTTCTTTCATTGGCGATACGAAGTTTTAAAACAGAAAAAGAAATTTCCCAAAACTTTTATAAACAAAATCCTTACCCCCATCGCCTACGTAAATAGAAACGGCGGATGGCGGTCCCCCTTCAATCAGGGTGCCTTCGACCCTGGAAGCTTTGCAAGTCACGGCAGACAGTAGCCTTACAAAGCGTGGCGAATCACTGATCACATAGGTTTTAGGACAGCGAGTGGTGAAACCCTTCTTTGTCCTCGAAGGTTGATGAAGGAAACCCGTGTTAGCTCCAGTGCACGCGGACATCTTCTATGCGTCGACCGATGGTCGCAGCAGGGTATCTTACGAGATGGCGCCCGAGGGCGATCAGAGACGAGCAAAGTGCGGCGGAGAACGAGCAGAGCGCGGCTGCGGAAGAAGCAGAGGGTGGAGGAACAGCGGCGACTTGACGACCTTGAGGCGGGAGACGAGGCGATTAGGGCTTCCTCCTCCCCGCCTTCTCTCTATCCTGTTTGAACTGTCACCGTCGACGAGTCGCCGCCTCAGGCATATCCGATTTAACACTGTCCTTCGGGTTACCCAACGATCCATCCGGAAAGCATCCGAAATGGTGCGACGAAATCATGGAAGAAAAAATAATATATATTATTTAAATAAACTTCCACTATTGTTCGGTTCATAGAAGTGCCAACTTACCACTTATATTATTTTTTCCCAATTTTGGGTCTCAAAAATCTCTCAAAATCAGTCATATTTAAAGCATCAAGCCATAATTAAGGACTACTTTGGAAATATGATACCCTTACTTTTGTTCTATATTCTTCCCATATGGGATTATTTTTTACACCCTCTAGAGCGAGAAGTCTTAAGCTTTCAAGACAGCAGTTATGATATTATCTTCAAATTATTTTGACTTCAAAATATATATTAATTAAAATTAATACTGGATTTGAGACAAAAAGGAGATAAATTGAAATAATAAGTTGAAAAAAGTTTCTTATATTTTTAGGTTTTTAAATACACATGAAAAGAATGTCTTTAAACCACTAAGTTTAAAAGCATCTATACATCTAATTAAGGAAGAATTAATAATCAGCATAAAAGTAGCACTTTTCATGGCCGCCTAATGTGAAGCATGAGGATGATGAGATCTTTTTTTTTCAACAATGTTTGATGACACTAAAAATTTCCCCATCATTAGTTTTTTGTATATATACTATTTTATGTGCCTTATTTTACTAAAATCTTACCACAAAACTAAGACATGAGTAGTCAAATTAAATTATTCAACTTTTTTTCTTTAATCTTTCATTGAAATGAGAACCTAATTTAGCCCATTTTTTTAACCATTCCATGTATTAAAAGCTTCCACTTTAGCCCTTAAAAAATATATTCCAATGCAAAAGAAAAATTATTAAATTTCAATGTGAGAAAATAAGAACATCTAGCACAAGATGGATCAAATAATTCATATAATTATTGACATAATTGGGAGTATAAAATTTCCAGCAAATCAAAAACCTTGGTGAACTTTTCTAAAATCAGGATTTAAATTTTAGTATATAAAATGATTTGCTAACATTTTCTCTATGAAAGATTGTTGTCATGAGGTCTACTCTCCATTTAATTGTAATTATGAGAGTTAGTGGACAGATTAATGATGTGATGTCATATGAAATGTGATGGCAGAGCAGCTAAGCTACAAGATCTAGTGGCGTGATGGCCCAATGTAGGCTATTGAGCTTGCACCATTTCTCAATCATGGAGAGTTGTTCTTCAGCTTTGTAGAGGGTGTTCCTTCCAATTGTTACTGCCAAAGGAACTTTGGGTTGATACCTTTTTCAAAGTCTATTTTCAATTCATATCTCTCTCTCTCTCTCTCTCTCTCTCTCTCTCTCTCTCTCTCTCTCTCTCTCTCTCTCTCTCTACCTATCTATCTATTTAATCCCCATCTCTACTCTCTCTCACTTTAGTAAAGAATTTGGGGATTATTTGGGCCCTAATCAAAGTCAACTGCAAGACTTTTGCTCAAGCAAATATTTTCTAATTGTGAGCACATAAATTTTTACTACATAGCTCCCTAAAACATCATTCAAGTCCTTCATTATAGGCTTAGGCTTAGCCCATATGGTCCTTGAGTTGGCAAAAGGTCTTGTCTCATTTTTATAGGAGGTAGTTGATATCATTTATCTTCGTGAAGCTAGATTTGTATTGGAGAATGGTTGGTGGTTCATGGTAATAAATGATCTTGAAGGGAAAGAAGTTAGAAGAAGAATTATAGTTGGTGTTTGAATCGGAATTCTACCCATGGGAATCAATTGCTTCATTGATTTGGTCAATCTCCTACAAAACAATGGAGGTAAGTTTCAATACTTTCATTAACCACTCATAATTATTCATTAGTTGGTGGATGATATGAGCTGATCTTGTTGAAGGTCATCCCATGGAAATGGAAAAATTCATGTCAAAAGAAACTTGTACAAATCATGTCACAATCAATGAGGATTGATTCATGAAACATGTGAAGTCACATAACATCGTAAATAAAAACCTAATAAGTGTTTATTATTATTAGTTAATAGTGGTTAAAGTATTTATTTTATAAATTAACTCATGATAAATATACAATTATTTATATTAAATAGAGAATATGGGTTTTTATGTGATTAATGTAAATTTTTGGCTCACTATATGATTTTATGTTATTTTTATATTCATATTTTTCAGATAAAATGAGGAAAAATAATATTAAAAATAGAAAAATAAGAAATTCATTGGCCAGCCGACACGTGGCAACTAACTCAAAGGGTGCCACATGGTAGTAAGAAGCTTAGTCAAAGAAGGCACAAGTTAGGGGTTCAAACAACTAATAAAGCTATTGAAAGCATATGTGCATCACTCTTCTTTCACGTCACTAAGGGCCAACCAAGTGTGTAGCAAGGAATGGTCGTACACACATGTATGTGGAGACAAATCACTTGACCATTTTATTTATGAGAAGATATATCAATAACTCAAGATACCTTATACTTATTTTCAACCCAAACATCCAAATAAAATCAACATGAGGCTAAAACATGGTTGTAATCTGTTAGTGAAATAATGCCAAAAATATCATTACATTATAAGAAGAAAATTTAGTCATGATGTCACTATTTTAAAGGTATTCTTGTAAATTATTAACCTTCTCTCACATGGCCAAGTGACAAATAAAGATTTGAATATTATCAAAGACCAAATTTATGTTTTTATTTATTTAACTCACGATTTTTTTTAGATCACTAGTCAATGATCAAGCCATTAGAATCACTTAATCATTAATATAAAATGTGTCAATACTATTTTTTGATTATTGCTAGCTGATCAAAGATTTCAAATACGAAAATCATGAATTCTTCAAAGAAATACATTAGTAGACAAGTCAACACCTCTCTAAAACATTCTAAATACGATATGAGCCTCCTTTTATTGTGCATACTTGAGGAAGAAGCTTCTTAAGATATGTCTCACCTTCATCAAACTCATCTCTAACGAGTGACAACTATTAAAAAATCTATTGCCACCAAACTTTCACTTTGTTGAGCTTCTTTAGAATTCACAAGAGGATCTAAAGATTACCCACATCATGTATGCCCAAAGAGAACCTTTGGTGGGGACATACATCATATAAAAATTCTTTTAAACATCTAAAATTTAGTTTTATATGTTTTAAACTTGATTAATCTTTAAATTAGTAAATTTTGTATGATTTTAAAATTTAAAATATTATTTAATTAATTATAATTATTTTGATGTTTACAAATTTCAATTTGATTAATTAAAAAGTATGTTATCATTCACACAATAATCACTAAGTAGAAATTTGATTCTACTGAAGTTGTAGTTCATCGAATGCTAATATTAGTGCTTAAATTTTCCTTATTCATGAATTTTAAATATATTTACTTTTAATCATTTAGTCTAAAATTTATTAAAAATATATATTATTTGATAAAGATTTAAAAATTATTTAATTTTACTTGATATTATCTTACACCTTTGTGTTCAACTTGAAAAATTCTCACTATTACTAGAGTTTTTTACCTAATTGTAACTACTATATTTATTTTTAAAAATCTAAAAAATCTTTTAAAAACTATTTTCTAGTTTTAAAATTTTAATTTGTGATTTATTATATAATAATTAAATCATAGTAAAATAAAAGTAATATTTTTGAAGGTGAGTGGGTGAATAAAATAGATAAAATAATATATTTACTCAAGCAATCCATGACAATTAGAATTTTATTATACAAATTGGATGTTGATAAGCTTTCAATAAAATTCATTGTAATAGCTAATCATATCAATTCTAAAATAGATTGTAGTTGGAGGTCAATATAGGACAATACCATAAATTTATTTTTTTAACAACGTTAGCAACTACTCATAACATGCCAGATCCAACTCTTTATGTCACTCCATCTAACATTCTACATAATTTCAATAGTAAATTATCTAGAAATTTGAGTCTCATATTGTTGCAAAGTTATGAAATTCAGATAAGAGTTAGAATGAATTCAGAGGTGTCAAAGATAACAAGTTGATCTTGATAAAATGTATTATCATATTTTAATGTGTGGTTAGTTGGGTGAAGAAGGAGCTCATTGATGATACTAGAAAATAGTGGATCCATCATATTTTCTTCTATAATTTGATGTAGATATAATAACTTCAATTGATATAATTATGGCACTTGTAGGATGACATGTAATAAAGCTCTAGACAAGACACAACAACTTTATTTTCAACCTTAGTCTTGAACCTATTCTCAAAATCAAATGTGTTCATTTTGGATTAGTCATGATATATTTCAAACTCCTCTAGTCTGTAAATATAATATTTTTTTATCCCAATAGGCAATGTTTATATTTTAATATCATCAAAATAATTACTAATCATTACGACTCATATACTATCTTAATTTTTTGATAGTCATCAAACTTTGGCTGAAGTAAGATATGTGCATTCCTTTCTTCATAAGAA